CTATGATATCCAACCCCGCATATATCAACGAAATTGGCCGGTCCCGTGGGGTTGATATTAGAGAGGGTTCACTGTATCATTATTTATAAATATAGTCAAATGCCTCACTTTCCCCGCAATCGCGAACCTACACAACAATCTACTCATTATCACCGCGGCCTATATTAAAACGAACAATGAAGATTAACCACTATGCAGAAAGGAAGAGTAAGAAGATCAGAGAGGAGAGTCAAGTTTGTTGATTCGATCGAGAATACAGTTGACGCTGCTTATATCGAACTGGCCGGCTGGAGGATTTTAGTTCGTTATAACCAGAGTTCGTTCCAACCAGAGCTTGCGACAGTATGTCACGTGACAATAAAATTCAGTTAATATTAATATTAATACACTTTGCTTATTTACTAAATCTAACAATAATAATAACAACATTTAGAGTAAAAACTTGATCAACTGCTTGTAGACAAATTTATAAAAACACTATCAAAAATAAAGCTTCCATAATAAAGCCACTCAATATCAACAACTTTATCCTCAAAATAGTGGGTTGTTTGTATAATTAATCCAATTCGTCTATTTAAGTCTCTCAGGACGCATTTAACCTTACCACAATATTAATTTGGTAAGATTGACGCCAGGACTATACAACCCAAACCCTATACACATCTAACTACCGCAAAAAAGCAGGAAGTATGTAAACGTCAAAGAGACAATCCTCATGTATCCTATCGTAGTCTAGGCAAAGACTATGGAGTAGGAAAATCGACGATACAAGATATTATTTCTCAATCAGATTATTGCCAAAGCTTGTGTCTATGCAGAGCGTTTAGGAATAAAGAATTTTATAGGCACTGATGGGTGGTTGTCTAAATAAAAAACGCTACAATTTGCATAACATCTCACGGCACGGTGAATCGGCAAGTGCACCTCCAGCGGAATGTATAGAAAATGAAAGAATACGTCTCCGTACTGAACTGGCACCATATAATTTAGATGATATGTATAATGCTGATGAATACAGGGCTTTTCTGGGCCATGGAACCTTCAAGAGTTTTATCTCGTCAAATTAGCGGCCATAAAAAAAACAAAAGCAAAGTCTCTATTCTATTAGCAATAAATGCTTCTGGAACAGATAAGTTGCTACCAGTATTTGTATATAAATACCGAACTCCATTTCCTCTCCGTCATGTCAATAAAGCCTTGCTTCCAGTACAATATTATTGGAATATTAAGGCGCATATGCAAGTAAGTTTACTAATGATAAATGCATACATTATCGACATCAGGTATTAAATTTATTTCAATATTTAACGACTGGCTACGGATGAAGTGCATAAAATTATTCCTGGAAATGAGCCAACTAATATAACTGTTAAATTTTTACTTCCTAATTCAACCTCGATCTTGCAACCTGCTGATGCTGGGATAATCCGTAGCTTTAAAGCACAATATAGAAAACTATTTGTTCAGCATCAACTACTACTATTTGATGATATTATGGAAAGTAATTCTCAGAATAATATCGGCAAATATAATATAAAGGACGCTGCTTACAATGTTTCTAGCGCATGGAATAATGTCACTATGGAAACAATTCAAAATTGTTAGCGTAAAACTGGCATCCTTCCTACACTGTCTCCTGAATGCATTTTTGACTTTATTTGCATCGACAATGACAATACACAAATACATGATGAACAACCATTTTTTGATTGCGGTAATAAGTCAGGCTAGCGAAAAAATAGAAGAGGCAAACAGCCAACGAACATTAATTCAGGATTTAATCAATCAATCAAATTTATCAAATCCGTTGTCTGCTGATAGTAAGTAACGATGCAATTGAGGTTATTTTATTATTTACACCTATTACTATGCTAACATTAGAATTTATTGCTGTTGACGGTATGGAGAATTCTGTCGCAACGTTAAGATAACTCCGATACAGAAGAAATAAAAATTTCGTTAAGAGAAGGCGAAGATGCATTAAGAAAGTCTTTATCGTTTCTTGAACAACAGGATAACGATAACATTAATATTCGTGTAGATAATTTATTAGGTGTTAGTCGACTAATTAGTCAAGTTTCATATTATCGTATAAACAGTTAACTTTTTCGATAAACATCCACATTGCACAAGATCCAGAAATATGATTGTTATGCAATGATGGTAACCTTATTGTCTTATTTGGTCAAAATATTAACAAGTTGGCGTGGAGAATTAAATCACACCAATTGAAGGATATTGCATTTTATCTGAGACGTATCTAACTACGTGTATTAATCGATGAACTAAATACGACTGTTTCTGAAATAACGACTCTAGGCGTATATTATGAGGGACATAGCAGCGCGCAGGTAATACACTCCGATCGAATATTCCTTGTACCGTCAGAGTTACGCGTCATTACCGATCAGAGTGGATATCATATACCGATATATAGGGAAAAGCTGAACGAAGATTATACTTCATACTAAAAATTGGATGATGATTATAAATTAATTAGTCAGAAACATTACGTCATGCAATTTAAAAATATGGCTTACTTCATTTGCGACCAATGCAGGGACTCGAATTCTACACTTTGCCGCGTATAAGTTATCCCCTTATGCAATGGGGCTGAGCTCCTGAATGACAAAGAACCTTGGAACTGTAGAATGTTGAACTGATCAACGCGTATAAGTAAAATGATATTATATATTATAACGCTTTCCCTTATGGGGTACTCAAAAGAAATTGCTAGACCCTGATTAGTACGAGCACTTTATTAGAGTTTACGATTGACCATTTTTCAATTATTCCTTACCTGAATGACTTGAGCAACTAACTAATTTTATCGACCGTAAATATGTTCGAGGAATGCTACAAAGGTTATATATCTCTTTCTGACTTTGGCGAAATTTTTCAAGTCCCTTAACGCACGTTGCACTTGTTTGATCCGTTAGCGACAGGTTATAAACGGTTACATTAGTAACGTATGGTTACTGCGACATCATATGAACGTTTTGAAACATAGCATCGCGTTCCGGCATTGTAGTTAAAAAAAATCTAATCATTAGTATTTTTTATTTTTATTGTAAACTCAAAACCATAACTACCGGCTACAGAAAAGTCTTGTATACAGAGGTTCAACTAACGGATAGTCAAAAAGGTTCCAGCAACCTCGTCATAGACACATTAACTTGCATATTATAGTTGTATAAAATACACTTGAAGAAAAGTACAATATGAGGTAATTAGGCATTTAGACGCATTGACAAAGAATGCAAGTCCAGTTTGCGATATCGGTACGACTCAATAACTCTATCATAACTCAATTGACATTTGTGTCAACAAAGATGTTTTCGACGTTTGAATAAACGGCCAGTGTTCTTGCCTAACTTAAAAGGAATGCGAACCTAATAATTGTTAAGATGGTAATACCTACAGTCACTGTTATAGGTATTATTGGTAGAGATGAACCTGCACTGCAAGTGGCGCATTGGTAACCTGTAACAAAGGCGCACGCAATGATCAATACAATAATATTAATCATGAACATCAGACAGAATCTTAAATTGAGACTCGCTATCGTGTCACTTACCACTGTAGTCAGTATAGGGTTCAGGTGAATACATTGAAAATATCAATCCTGAAAATGGGGTCAAACGCCCAGGTGATGGAATTGGCGTTCTTCCTCGTTCATCGTAAATCCAAAGCGTATAATCACTATTCAACAACGGAGGACTCTGATTGGATGAGTCCCACACGTAACTTGTGGCATCTCCAGAGAGGTTTGCAATCGGGTACCAGTTTTTGTTGGCATTTGCTTGTGCTTCCATAGTTAAGTTTTTAGGTGCAAGCACTGGCGTTGGACTATATTTCCAGGAGAAAGTAACTTTGCTGCCAATTTTGTATAGAGCTTTGTTAGCAGTTACAGCTGGTGTCACCATTTGTATTGCGCCTTGAGGTGTATTTGGATCAATTATAGTTTCGTTTGAAGTGCTGGTTGGAGTTGCTGCGCTGGTGGTCGGACTAGCAGCAGCGGTTGTAGCACCACCAGCTGCAGTAGTACCAGCGGCAGTACCTCCATTACCACCACCAGCAGCAGCACCATTGCCTCCACCAGCAGCAGCACCATTGCCTCCACCAGCGGCAGCACCTCCACCACCAGCGGCAGCACCTCCACCACCAGCGGCAGCACCTCCGCCACCAGCAGCAGCACCTCCACCGCCAGCGGCACCTCCACCACCAGCGGCAGCACCTCCTTTAGGAGCAGCACCTCCATTTTGAGGCTCTGTATGGCAAGACAGTTTAATTAGTCACTGCTCAATAATTCACATCAATTTCCTCTCGTTGCTTATGATCTCTTACACATAGAGTGTTGCCTGTAATATTCGTAATTCTACTATAATTAACTATTTTTCCAAAACGAACTAGAATACGACTGTAACCTCCAAGCATCATGTCCTTCAAATAGAATTCTAATACGAAAAACAAAAGTTCTTTGTCTCTCTCCGTTTACTTTCGTAGCTTATATGGAATGTCAAGTATACTACTCTTTAGGATGTGAGATCACAACAGCGTCTACAACGTCGATGTGGAAATTATATACTATGTTCTTGGTAACCGTCAGTCTCTATTTACATCAACAGAAGGTAATAAACTTACGTCTCTTGCTCAATTCATGAGCTCCATCAAAGCCTTCTACTACTGCTAAAAATAAGCAGATGACGAGGATAAATGCTGCTGTGAAGAATACCCCACGCATTTTCATTTTTCTATTATGTGCGTCTTATGACGCTCTTTTCTATTAGAATACAATGAAGTTAGAAGTGAGTTGTTTTTGCTCTTGAGATAAGAGACTAGTTAAAGTGGAAGAGAAAAAGTTCGAAATGGCTGTGCTATATAAAATGGAAAGTCCGAGATTGAGGGGGTAAACTTAACCAGGAATAGAAATGCAAAACCTCGGGAATGTAGTGCAGATAAAATATACTAAATATGAACAACGTAAAAAGAAAGTCTATTAATATAACAATTACAGCAACATGCATATTCGTTAGTATTAATAGAAAACTTATAATTATAACTTGGCATATTATTATTATTTCAGAAACTAGTCAGTAATGGTAACCCGGGTTATAATTATAAATTATAATTAATTGGACACGCCTTTGTGAACAAACCACACACACCATATTCATAGCACCAAGTAAATTAATATCGCCCGCACGTGATTTACTTTTAATGGGTCTTCATGACGTGAACATTTCCAACATTAGTATGCTATCGATCATCTACATAACTAAACTGTCTTTTAAGCACCAAAAAGATATTATTAAATACCTTAAACTTTGAAAAGGGGGAAGAATGATATTTCCAAATTCCGTTTGCAGCTCTTGGTTCGCCGTCTTGTGTAACGTCCTTGCAGCTTGAAAATGAGAGGGACATACCGTGTGACTTGGACAAAACAATAGATCATGATCAGAGAGTATAACAGAGATGATTATGACATTATCGAAACCATTGGTGAAGGCACATTCAGTGTGGTATTTTTAGCCAAAGACGCTAACACTGGCGACAATGTTGCCATTAAAGCGCCAAACGGAATACTCGGACAGCAACGCATACGGAGAGAAATTAAAATATTGTCATCAATCAATCATGAGAATGTATATTTTCAATTATTGCATGCTCATAGACTATAGTTAACATATGAGCCCAAGAGGACATACACATAATTCATTCACAGGTCATTAATCTTTTAGCATTCAAAGAATCCTCAGCAATAGCATACCGACTGCGATTGATACTACCCTACTGTCCTTTTACAATAAAGAGACTGCTCAAAGATTATGAACTGACGACTTTACACACAAAGGCATCGATGGTCATGATTCTCCGTGGCGTGGCCTATCTTCATGAGCAAGGCATTATACATCGCGACTTATCGCCAAACAATATATTAGTTGACCGTTCGGGAATTATCAAAATTGCTGATTTGGGTTGTGCTTGGACAGAAGAGGATGACAAAGGTAACGAAGAAGGGGCAGAAAAGAGAGGAAAGAAGAATCATGAAGTCGGCACAAGGTATTCAAGGTTTATAAAGCACACATAGTTGTCGGTGTATAGTATTCAGTATGTATTATATGCCATGTACCCATCACGTGCTAACTCCATTTTTTCAGATATTACAGAGCGCCTGAGATTCTCTTCTCTTCGCCGGATTACACAGAATCCATAGATATTTGGTCTACTGCGTGTATTATTGCAGAATTTTTCACGCAGCCACCAGGAACACCATTGTTTTGTGGTGAAAGTGATATTGATCAGATATGTCGTATATTCAGAGTGCTCAATGTCCCGGATGACTCAACTTGGCCAGTAAGAGCATGTTAGTTAATTGTTTTGTTGTTAGGTTATATGATTCCACAAATTCGCTGTAACGCGTGTCTCTTGAACCTGTATAGGAATTCAAGTATCTTCCTGACTATGGGAAAATAACGTTCGAAATAGGCCACAGCGAAGGATTGTCGGGCCAAGACCTTCCAAACGCGACAGACGATGTACTAAATTTCATTAAACAGCTCTTGGTGCTAAGGCCAATCGAGAGGCTACCTGCGAGACAGGTTCGCATTGTCGGTTTACACTTGTATATCAATTCGATTAAATCTAATCTGATGATGTATTTTGAAATAGGCTTTGCAGAGTCCATACCTGTCAGAATTTTCGGCCGTTTCTGCCATAAATATTTCCGAGCTGAAGAGACGCATTCCTGAAAGTCTTTGTAGATTATTCTTCGGCTAAACTGCCAAGCTTAACTCTAGCGCGTTGTATCTAATGAAGTAAACAGTGTTTTAGTTGTTCTTCATTAAGAAATTAATAGCATTGTATGTAGGCATGGTAAATTAGGTAAAAATGATGACACAACTACGTTAGTGACTGAAGTCAGTCAAAATAAAGCCTTTCTCAGCGCTAGCTTTGGGAAAAAGACATAGGATTGTGATCACGGCAAAACTCGAGCGCATGACTTAACGTCGATTGGTCGGGTTGACTAATTATATTGCTACCAATTATGATAGAAAACTAGACTAATAAACCCAAATTGGTTCGTTGAGAAACCTCTGTTGTGAGAAATATTACAAAAATTACGTATATAATTTAACATTTCTTGCTACGAATTAAAAATTTTCAAGACGTACATCAAAACTTGAAACAATGACTAAGTAGGCTTAAAAAAACCAGATTTTTGATTGTAGAAAAGGAGAGTACGTGTGTACGAATTTTTCGCCCTGCTCGCATATCCAGACCTCTTTTACTGCCGCTTGTGCAAAAGATGTAGGTTGGTCTGTATGTTACAGATATTCAAATTTAAATTACGCGTGCCTTGGTAAAATTTGCATTGAATTGATCGGTTAATTAAATCTAAGAGACAGTTTATACAAAAGCGCTAAGCTGCTGCTAATACCTTAAAGCCTCGTGTCTATCTAGCGTACGATATTGCCGTGTACAGACGAACATTCTCGACAACAAATTCTCTGCCAAGATGCAGTATATTATTAATCGTTACCCTAGTAAAAAATATTATACCAAAAAAGTTCTCATTATAGAATAACCAGAATGCAAATGTTGACCGTAAGACTTGTTGGTTCATGTATTGTAAAATTTATGGCTAATGCTGAATGCATAACGTGCTAGTTATCCGTTTTCGTTACAATATACGTCGATACAGAATCTTATATTTGTGAAATTATTATACGTTTGCCAATGTGAAATGATGACGTGAATTAAAGTAACTTAATAGAGAATGTTTTTACTTTTACATGATAATTCGTAAATACTATTATCCTATCGGGAACCTTTTACTATGTAGTAGCTGGTAGCTTCTTCGTACGCAGTAATATGTTTATAACACGTCGAGGTTAATATGTGCGCGTCTGAATTTACTTATCAGCGATACTCTTACATTAACATGGGTAAATATTATTATTATTAAAGTTCAAGATACTATTTGAGTTTTCGTCGATACTGTTACAACTAGTCATACTGGGATCAACTTTGATCTGAAAAGACTCGCTTAAAAAGCACCGTCTTGTTTACACGGCAACAAGATAATTAATTCTATTGCTAAGGTATAAATCCACACTCGTAATGTTGTGCTCGATTCTTTATAAAACTCCACACTCGAATGCGCGATTCTAGGTTTAAAGAAGGTTGACTAGCAGCGAGATCTTGGGCCACTGGTGTCAGTGGCTAATCCTAAAATATATACGATTGTGGCGTTACCAAATTAATCTTAGTCAACCCACGAACTTTCCCCATCATTTGCTCAAGTTGGAGTTCATCCAAATCTTTCCTTTGTCATAAGCTTTGGTTTTACTTTAATCTGTATTTAAAGGTTCACAAATTTATATTCTACGACAACCCTGAAAATATCTGAAAAATTATTAACTGAAAATAATTATCAAAAAATCTGACGCTGTTCATTTCCCTCATATAATATCCTATTGTTCTACACGACGGTTGCTGACGTTCATTCTTAAACAAGTAGCATGACATCACTTCTGTAAACGTCATTTACAGAACCAACCGTTTATTACAGTGGGTTGCTCATATTGGGAGAATAAAACATAACTGGTCGCGAAAACTAACTCAAATATTGTCCATGTTTTCCCCTAGATGATTTGCTCACTTATTGCACGCTTCTCGTCCTCTTCAACAACTTCTCCAACGCGACGCGCGTTACCCAGACCGAATCGACAAATGAGTTCAGCTTCTATCTGGGGGTATATTTCGTCGCTAGTGCGTCCAGCACACGTGACCAATATATTGCGTTTGGCGTAGTATTCGAGGAGAGGTTCCGTTAGCGACATATGTTTTTGTAAGCGAACTTTGAAGATTTCCTTATTGTGCGAGAAAATAAAAAGTGGGATTCTTAATAACAGGTCTTAGAATGATGAGGAATGCCATGACAAAAGGCCATGACAGCACAAGTAAGGTCAATGACTATCACTTACAGGATTATCATCAGGTCGTTTAGTCAATCTCTCACCAGTGATGTCATCATAACCGTGTCTTTTCGGTGGATTGTAACTAAGATTATACACACGACCGGACGGAACATGCACCCAACGATCTACAAAAGGTAAACACGAAAAAATATGAATATCCACTTCTACGTTTTTCACTTCCAACTGATAATTTATTTACCCATTATTCTTTGCAAAATAACTTCTTCAGGTACGTGTAGATTAATGACCAAATTGAGAGGTTGACCTGTGCTCGTTAAAGTCTTATCCAACGAAGCTGCTTGATTTATTGTTCGTGGGAAACCGTCCAAGAGCCAATTCTGGAGTAATAAAATTCAGAGGAAGGTGAGGGTGAGTTTGTTTGTTTGTTTTTTCCCTAGACGCTGCACATTTGAAGTAAATATGCAAATATTTACCTGTTGTTCGAGGGTGACAAGCTCGTCATTGATTAATTCTATCATTATATCGTCAGAGACAAACGCTAAGGATTGATTTTTACGTTAATTAGTTACCAATGCATAAGTACAACTGCACAAATAGACTATCGTGTTTGTTAATATGAAGTATTTACGTGTATCAACAGACTCTCACTATTCTTTTTTTTTTTTCCTAAATCTTTAGTCCCAACTAAATAATTTCGTCAATTTATTCCACCATCTTCTTCCGTTCGCATCACTTTTATTTCTTACCCCCACGTTCCATCTGAGCAGCTGCCATCTTGCCAACTTCAGTTCCTCTTGCTATATTCTGACGCAATAGATTGCCACTTGATATCGCGGCCAAGTTGAAGTTCTTTTGAATTCTAGCCGATTGAGTTCCTTTGCCGGCACCCTGCCCGATGGTGTGAGAGTGTAGTCGTAAGATAGATGAGACATGAGTGGTTCAGATTGTTTCGATGATGGTATGAATGGATAGACACGTTAGATGATTGGGGCAGACGGATGCTTGCCTTATTACAGAGATAGATATATTGAGCGTTTTATGAAGTTGTCGCCTTTGCTATTAAGTATATTATTCATCTCCGATTCTTGTGGTTACTTTATCTTATTCTTTAATAACCGTTAAATATGTAAGTACTTACGGGACTACCAAGCAGCAACAACCGTATCGGTTGGCTATCATAAGCAGGAGACGCTCTTTCGAGGTGAGCCGTTCCGCTGAACCATCGACTAATTAATCCTAGTCGCTTGCTCTTGGATATGCCGGTCAGAACATTGCCGGAAATTCTTCGTGTCGTTAGTGATGTAATCATTATAAATACGTTATTCCAACACTGCAAAATTTATAATCGTTATAGCGTTGTTATAAGCAGTGATTCCAGGGAACAATGACGAGCCGACGGGTTAAGGCTGTCTCTTGGATAAATACCAATTCTCCCACAACATACACAAATGTTGCTGATTGTAAATACTTATAAATAGTTGTGTGAGGCATGTGATCATTTATTCCGGATTTTTCCGGAGTGGAATAAACAAGATGTTGATCGAGTCAATCAACAAACAATAGTGACTAGTGTCACATGAAATATCAAATGGGCAGGAAAAAACCAAAGATTGCTGGGTGGATCAGTACGACGGCAAACTTTGCTTCTAAAAGGAAAGAATTCGTTCTAATCACGCTATAACATGCCCTATTGCGTCTACATAGGGGCTTGCATAACTCCGCAGTCGTAGTAAAAGGAAAGATAATTGCTTTTACTTTTATGAGGATTTCCCAAATGATACACATTCAAGGTGTAACACGGACATTTTATGGACGATCCGATGTTTAGACTGTAAATAGTTAGTCATTCTATAGCGAGGTGTGGAAGCAGAAACCGATGCTAGACATGTGACTAGCTATGCTATTTCATAATCAGAAAGTCAATAGTTTACAGAACAGTATATGCATTAACGGAGAAACATATGGTACGCTTATGATCGAGGACTAGCCTGCTAAATTTCAATCTTGCAAGACATTTTTCGATCTATGTCAGATAAAGGAAGGAACGGACACAGGAATCCAACCACTTTAGTGCAAAGTCTCGAATGCATACATAATGTCTAATCAGGAAAGACATTTTTGGCAGAAGTCTAAATTACTACGTTCCACAAGAGGGTGTTCCCGGATGATCACGCTACCTTGGATCTATACCAATCTCTGGGAAATTTATGTTGCAATAATACGCGGAATGCTTTTTTGTTTTCTATCGAGAGTACGACACAGTACCAAACTTTGAAAAGTGCAAGGTTTCATCATTCGAAAAAAAAAATAATAATATTTATCTGCTATTGACAGAGCTGCCCCAGGGTAGAATTCGAAGGGCTCCGACGATTTCATTAACAAATGACAACGCTTCATTATTTAATAACTTTCAACTTATCTTCTATTACTATGACACCGGTTAGGTTTGTCAGATTTTTGTTTGCGGTTGGCTGGATACCCTGGGTTTGGATGGTGGCAAAACTGTGTACGAACGGGTAGTAGTAGGTCGACTCTGTCGTAAATCTGATGGTTATATAGGTCACAATAAAATTACAGAACTGCAACGGGATATTTGCCCATTTCAAGCACCATTCGAAAGCAATTAACAGATGTTTTCTTGAATACACGATAGTGCACATCTCGCTTGCGATTGGCAGAACTATTGAAAGAATACAGCTTTTTGCTTCCGAGTATTGGAGCCTATGGGTAGCACAATAAGGATTCCGTGGCATTTTGCAACTTCCAATTATTACATCTCTATGCATGTAGAGAGAGGACATAGAGAGTATTGGACTTTAGGAGAAAAATAGTCAAGTTGCATCATTATTGAAATTAAATAATGGTATTTAAAAAGGGGGTTCTTGTCTAATTGGCTGGATTCGCTGTTGTAAAATTTGTTGAAAGACTTAAAACTCGCGCGAATTAAAGAAATGTAGTACCAACGCCAAGCCAAATGTTAATGTTAATTACGTAACAGCTAATACATAAAATGCTTATTGGTAATAATGTTCTCTTGTCCCATGATTAAAACTCATCAATCGTAGAGGTAAATTTTATTTTTCGAAAATAACATAAGGTTTTCGTGTGTCATAATTAGTAATATACCCGTATCCAATTACTTTATTTTATAAACATCATACTAATATGTGAACATGAATGTGACTGCATCTACTTTATTGGCTTTTTGTGCCTTTAGAAAAAACCCACATCTTTTATAAAAACAACGTAAAAAGGTTTTTGCAATAAAGTTTAGGGAAACGTTACAGCATCAAACGTTTGTAACATTACAGCATTACAGGCAATGTAATAAAATATGATTTCCATACAGCGCTGACAAATATGCGCCTGGACTAATTTCTATAATTAATTGGTGTTTATACGTACGTATTATACTGCTTCCAAAAGTTATAGTGTTAATAAACTGGTTATTAACCGCTTGCCGGCGAATCTTAATAATGTTATTATTCATTATTAATATCAAACATCTCGTTTGTGATTAAAGAACTGAAGAAAGAAAGAATAGCAGATTGAAACAATTTCACCGTTAGATAAAGTCGGATTTGGGCTACCAATTTTTGAATTCTTATTAAACAGTGGAATATGACCTGATTGTTCATCCGCATTTGTATTTACTCAAAGCAAGAATACTTTATTTGGTAGTCAACATATTTATTATGCGGGGGAGAGTTGGTTTCTTTTGTTCTACCCCGTAGTATGTCACAATGTCGTACGTCCTAACGTATTTGTTATTGTATACAATCACATCACTGGTGCTTGTGCTTGCGTTGTTATTCTTCCTACACCTTTCTGTTGTATTTTTAGACGTAGCTGATGGTTTTCATGCCATGATTAGTGCCCCTGTACAACTCTACCAGCGTTCACTCGATCTTCATTGTTAAATCTACATTAGTACTTAATCGTCTACAACCATAGCAATAAGGAGACCCTCCAATGTGTTTGGGATATGCCCAATCATAGGCCATTAAAGTTGTATATTAATATTCAAATAACAATCTATTGTCTCTATTTGCCCATTTTAATATATTTTAATACTTGAAAATTCAGTGTGACCGACGATCATGTTATTTCTAATTATGGTTGGCTTATTTACCCATTTAGAGTATGTGGATTGTTTCGACCTTCATTATCTCAACCTTCCTTCGTTTCGACCGTTTTCCACCTTTCTCTTGCCACATTTTATCTGTTATCCAAGGACCTTTGGTCCTTCCGAATAAACTAGACTCATTTAAGTATAGATACAACGCTGGTCGTTTAGAAGCATTACATGTTCATGCCCATATCGAATCGTTGTCGCCTATCGAAAGTTCAAATCGATAACTGTTGTAAAGTATTCCCGGGTTCTCAAACTCAACCCAGTTATTAATACGGCGGTCAAGCCATGCCCAAATTCTCGCCGCGCGCTTGCATCTTTGGTATCTCAACCTTGTTATTGGTAAGTTTTCTCAAGATACAGAGCGTAAACTTGATCCAGAGTTTTTAATAATAAACAATCAATTACTAGTTGTATACGCTAGCAGTAGCTGTCATTTCGTTCAGGGGATTGAACAGTAAGTATTGAATTAAAGAAGCTAGAAAAAAGTGAAATAAAAAAATTTTTTCATTTTTAGAGGGAAAAGAAAGATATCTAACGTCTATCATACCATGCTTTTGCAGTAACCACTTTACATCTTACTCAACCTTTCTTGATTGGGTACTCGATCGCATACGCTGTTGCATCGCCTTTGGCATTATGGGGAATAATTGGATCTTTGCAGGTAAGAAAATAACTCCAATTCAAGGCCATGCGAATATGATTACAATAATTGACATGCCTCCTTTTTCATGATGACAGAATAGACCAGATTTAGTGTCCCGGTATATGAGAGATCACTGGTTTGCAACTGTTTTGTTGACAATAGTCGATGCAATCAAGGTTGTATTTTCGTTTCTCCGCGCGGATAATACGATAAGTGTCTGCTTGCAGTCAACCGCAGGAGATGATTGTAATAGAAAGGTCCAACTGAGTCAACTCCTTGGAGTTATAATATTTGGTGTTCAAGAATTATCCCTGGTAAGTATCATTATGATCAATATGGACATATCTTAAAATACTTACTGATTGAAATAATTTATTGCACACGCGATCAAAGATATCCTTGGGCATACTTGTTGTCTACAGCACTAGAAGGATGTTAAGGGAAGAAAAAGAAAAACGAAACGTCAATCCGTATAGAGACCTAGAAGCGCCAATAAACAGAGATGGAGTAGAATCACTTGCTACAATTGAAGTGCTTCATCGACAATACGCAGCTGCCAACTCGATGCCAAAACCTTCCAATACTTCCGAAAATGACTCGTCCAACATCTCCCCTTCCACAAAGGATAATGCGCGAGAACCAAAGGGCACACAGATAGGGGCAGATTTAGAGGAATCGCGTAATCTTAAACGAGTGCAAACGCGAACATTTGTTCCTGTTCGACAGCCAATAATGCCACAAAACTCGGTGGCGCCATCTACGGTTCAGCGACAAGAGTCCCTACGCGACTTCCGACAATCTCAGATGCCCCCATCCGCGTATACAAGACCATATCGTCAAGAGTATTCCGAACAAGTAGTTCAGACAAATGGACGTCAAGCACAGTACAAGTACTCTCTCCCCCCTCGACCGTATCAAAACCGACGGATAATTACCCAACAACAGGGAAATATTAATATACAACAACAGGGAAATATTAATATACAACAACAGCAATATCTGCCATATGATCGATATCAGCAGCGTCAGCAATATCAACCACCTCAGCAAGCTTACAATCAGGCACCTCAAGCGCCCCCACGCCGTCCTAGACTTCGACCACGATCACAAACTTTACCAGAACCCTTCTACCAGTTCATCGAATCCGATGTAACAGCAGAGCCACCCTCTACTTTTAGACCGGAACGTCAACCTTACCCCGGACCAATAAAGGACTCGAAAACTCAACCTTACCCCGATAACAGACCTCTTCCTATCCCACCATCTGGACTTGTACCACAATCCTTTGCGTTTCCCCCCGCAAATTCTGATACCGCTCCTTCCGGTCGGCTCTCTCAACGGTTTCAACCACAGTTATCACCGGTAGTCGAAGCCAATGATCCCAGACGCCGACAGCGTCGGCAGATGTATCCACATCAAATGAGACATTCGGCATCACTCCCGGACATACGCTATGTAGAAAATATGGATGCGCCGCCGGTGCCGTCACTTCCTGTACAGTATGCGGCCCAGGCGGTATCGAACGGTTTCCTGAATCCGTACGAGATGGCAAACCCTTATGACGAACCATCACCAACATCATCCATGTTCGGACATGCCGAGTCGTCTGAGGCCTCATCACCACGAAGGGCACGGTCGAAATCTTGGTCTTCACGAGGAAGTGGTGTTGAACTGTACCAAAGCTATAACTCTTATGCAAACCAGATCCAGTCGACTAATCAAGAATTTATTCCACCACCGGTGCCGCAACTGACAGGGTATGCCAACAGATATCAAGGAAGGATGCTCAGAAGAAATGATCAGGAATATGGGTAAAAGCTGAGATGATATTATAAGAATATGTTTGCTTCAATAGACACTGGGTTCAAAGTGCGATTGTTGACCATGAGCAACAAGAACGGATAGCCAACTAAACAACACTCTTTTTAATGTAATTTTAATTGTTATAATAAGAAAAAAAGGACAATTTTGGTGAATTTTTTTTTTAATTTCTGAATTGTGAAATAGTCTGGAATTAGGAATTCTTCAAACTTTGGATTTGAGTGGGTACAGATCGAAAGACATTGTAAAAAAAGTAAGACATTCATGTACAATAAATATCGGTCCCGCGTTTCTAGAACAATTCTTTATTAATTTATGTAGTAACACTTTGTATCTAGTATAAACTTCGCAAGTCGGCCATTGAATTATTTACTCGTCTTATGGTTGATGCATCTCCTTTAAAAAACAACTATTCGCGATTATATCTTCTTTCTTGGGTTTACTCTCGAAATCGATCACGACTCTATACGAATTATTTGACGATGGAGTGTTTCCCACATGCAGTTCTAACTTCCAACGTAACCCTTGCAAATGCTTTTGCAAGTATTGACCAATCTCTTGTCCAACAGACTCTAATATTTCAAACCCGACAATTTCAAATTCTTTTAAGCGAGCTGTCCACGGATGAGATACTACATCGTTGGCCCAATAATCTTTACATTCTCGCGGATGCTGAAAGTAAGTAAACGCGAGGTTGGTACGAAAGTTTGCTAGAGTATCTTTAGCTGTTGAACATAAAGCTGAAATAAATTCGTCCACTGTCTTTGATCCAAGTGTCGTTGCGAGCACTGATGGCGATGGTTCCGTTGGTGCTGGCAGTGGTAATTGATAGTAGTCTATCTCTCGAGCCAAGTCTTCCTGGGAAAAGGCGATTAAAGATGCCGTTGCGTGGGACGTAGGAATCGTAGGTATCACACCTGTTCTATAAAATTGTAAGATATACCAGAAGAGATACCCATCTCGATCTATGAATACCTCTCCATTTTCGATTTTTAACATTTCTCGATTGCGCGGTGAGAACATCACGCCAAGTACTGTGTCCGGATAAGCGGTTAGCGTAGAAATATACGTTTCATACTATTAAATAATTGTTGAAAAGCGTAGTTTAGACAATCAGGATCGTATTTAGGAGTTATCGGCTCTGGTTTGAAAATCTTTTTGTTTCTTTGTTATATACCTTTACACTACCAACATTCAGGATAATTCTTTCATTAGACATTCTGGCAATTTTAATGAAAGATAAAGTAGGAATCTTTATCCCATATACATATATATATGTCTATGTATATTTGACCACAGCATGATTGTGATTGTGCACAAGATGGCTTTCTTTGTCGACTTCTGTAATTATTGCTATACAATTTAGGCATATTCTTATTACCTTGCAAAGATGTCCAATGAAAATCTTTGTTACGGGTCGATTTGCCAATCACTCTAGTCTACCGGGTAAAACCACCTTCAACGGAAATATTAATACCGTGTGTCGTTCACTTCAACGCTTTGTAAAAAGCTTCTATAAATGAAGTGACACCTGTGTGACATCCCGTATGTCATAATCTCAAAATGTACGAAGAAAATGTCGACTATTGAAGAAGCTGCTCAACGATATACTCCTCTAGAAGAACCACCATTTGGCAATACTACTATTATCCGATTCTCTATCTACATACAAATGTCGTTTGCTGCAATCGAAAACGAAGGAGAAGATGGTAACTTTCTAATACATAGAATAATCAACCAAGGATCAATATTGGAACGATAAATCCAAAGTTTTCTGCAATAGACCGATTTATAGCTGCCATAAATGTAAGCGATTGAGTAATGCGATTGATGTTTCTACCAGGACTTGTAGTCCATGAATTTCAGCACAATTCTCAAGAAAATTCTTCACGACGGTTATATCAATGGTTATTTTGGTCTTCCATCATGAACACGTGGCATTATACCATACGTCACCAAGTAACATTTTCGAAATGAGTGCGGCCAATTCCTAACATATCCAGATACGTTTTCTGACAAAGAGACGTATTGCGATCTCAATAATAAAGCGTTTTCCTTTTAAGACGTCGGCTGGCAGTTATTTCTCCACCGTTAATTGGGCCATTAAAAATATGTCTTTCTACCATTTTTATCGTAAGAGGTTACGGCGTATCCCATTGGTGTACCTCATTCGGAACACATATTGTATTGAATGCTACACGCGGAATGTTTTTTCATGAATTTGGTGTAGCGCCTGTTTGTCTAACCAATTTCTTATATCTACCAATGAAAAGTTATTTCCAGCTCTCTTACAAGCATCGCGCAATCTTTCAGCGGTTCGATAATAACCTTGAGGTCTATAATAGAGAATACGACAGACGATTCGAATTTCTTCTTTAGGATCAATATAAATCACCGGCTCAGAAATAGATGCGAGATCATTATCAGCCGTACGGCTTTGTGAGCTAGTCATTTTTTGCCCTCAAAATATGAAATAATTCGCTAGGTCCGGCATTTGTGCAACTCGCGTAAACAAACATAGAGTTACGGGAGGAATTAGATCGCGAGGTAGAAATCAATCGTGTCAATGAGAAAAAAATCCGTCAGTTTATACAGAATTTAGAAAAATGCGAGGGCAGAATTAACTCGCCGTAGTACTACCATCCTTGACCAGGAAGACGAAATTCAACCCCTAAAAAATCAAATATCAAATTTACGAAAAAAATTGAGCTTAGTGCTTAAGGATATCAAGTCAAATGAGACGATTATTGACAGCAAAAATAACCAGAGTCGCCGGGTATGAGGAGAATATTTTAAGACTTAAGGCGAAAATCAAAGAATTAATATGCCACAAAAAAATATCGCTTAATCAAATAGAAATGGCTTCACCAAGATCACCGAGAATCCATGATGATACTCTTAATAGTTTTGAAAGTCTATGCCAATCGATAAGGGGAAATTTACAGCATTAACACCATCAGACGAGCTTTGAATGCAATTACCATCAATCTCAGGATGAAAAACATATCTTAGAAAGGCAGCTCCGGGATTTGCACAATACTACCACAACTACAATCCAGCATCATCAGAATACAAATTATAATCTAAATCGACGGCTGGAGCAAGAAATACAAAGAGCGAATGACGCTTCCATCGAGAATGGGGTTTTGTGGAGGATCAATAAAAATATACGGGATGCATGGCGCGTGTGTGAAGAAAAATATCGAGTTGAGACATTATTGCATGCTAGCTGGAAAATTAAATACACGAAATGTAAAACCCGATTACTATCAGAAATTTTCGCTCTCAAAATTATTTGCAATAGGTACAAAAATAAAGCCCAACCGCGTGCTATTCTGTATGCAAAATATACAAAATGGAAGCATAAAACGAGAGCTAAACACGCAAAATATGTCAAATGAAAATTGAGATCGAAATTAGTTTGCGACACTATTTTAGAATTAGAAGACCAAATTAATTTTTTAAACCAAAGAATTTTTGATTCGCAGAATAATATACCACCACAAAATCAAAATATGGCAGGAATAAAACATGTTACGATATCGCTAGCACCAGCTCTTGCCCAAATTCCGCAATATATAGGGCAGGAACCACCGGATGATTATGTTAATAAAATCGAACAAGTTTTTTCATATGGGACAGCTTTAAATGTGGTGGGTTTTGACGATGCAGTAAAGGCCAACATATTAAAATCCAAAATGTCGGGAAAATTCACTCCCGTTCCGGCCGAATATCCAGCAGGCACAAATATCAATACACCAGCAATTTTCTGAACTTGGCTTAGAGCAAGAAATGGTGGGTACGCAACAATCAGCAATACAAAGATTATCTCAAGAAAGATTCATGCCTTTGACACTCCAGAAACATATGAAACCAAAGTTTGGCCCTTTGTTAGGTGCCGCAGATAATGATGCACAAGTTTTAGGATTTTTAAAAAATCAATTATCTGGAGAACTTTTTACATGGATGAAAATTGCTAATCCTGGAGGTATTAAACGGAATTAAAAAATATGTGGCTGGAACGTAGACCAACTGCTTTTGATTGCGTATAACCCTCCGCATTCAACCCTCAACAGCCAATGGCGTTCAACCCCCAGCCTCCAATAGCAAATAATCCTCCGCTGCAGGTTACACATGACCCCTCAACGCAAAATCTAAATAGTAAATGATGAAAATTGTGTCTCATATCTTATGGGGGAATCCTCGGAATTTAATACAGTTTCGCCCCCTCCTTTACCTCCAAAACCTCATCACTTGTCTCAAAGGGCCCGGGATTTACAGGAAATAAAAAACTATGTCGAAAGAGGTATTTTATTAGAAGAAAACCGACAGGATGATCCTATGGAAATTGATTTGGCGATTGTTAATAGTAGTTTATGAAGAAATATACGAACCATCAACGTCGTACGGCACAGAAAATTCCGACGAAGAAATAGTAGAAATAATTGACAGGCCGCCATCAATCTTGTAAAAAAAAATCCGAGGGAATGTCAACTGAAGCAGTCGGTTGGTGTTACAATGTACCAACTACATTCACAAATAAGGCATTGATTCGAGATACTGATTTTACAATGACACACGATTTAATAGTCGTAGATTACGATAAATATGTCTTGATTCTAGGAACTGATTGGCTTGAGGTATTACCAACTATGTAAAGTGCGAGTTCCAAGTCGGTAATACCTTTGTGCCGATTTCTGTTCATAAAACTCCATCCAAGGATGGGAAAAAAAAGTGAGTTTGAACACCGTTCAACCTAAAAGAAATGGCAGGCCTGATAGAATATTGTGATAAAAAATTTCGGTATCCATCTAATCTCAGACAACACTTTTTACGAAAAAAGCTTGCACAATTTTTTCACCGTACGACACAGAAATTATTGCTCCACGAAAACCCATTGAAAAATTATTGCTGAGTAATGCCTCCCTGAGAAAAAAAATCAAGCAAGCCAAGAGAGAAAAGCTAAAGAAATAATGGATTAACTCCCGTAGGGAGGAGTCTTCGACTCATGGACAAATTTACTCGTTTTATTACGCAAAGCGTGCACTCCATGCAAGTTCTTTTTCGAGAATTAATTTTCAGCGGTACTGCCAAAATACTAACCAAGGCACAATTTTTATCTAGGATATAATATTCATTGGGTCTACTATTTTTTTTTGTTGTGTTTAGAGACAAGCGCATCCTCGCTTCAGTGGCCGGAGGAATTAAAAATGGAATAAACGAGCGACATTTGGAAGCATTCTCACTCTGTGAGTCCGTATTAGTTCTTTCATATTCGTGAAGCAAAGCCTTTGATTTTGTGTCTAACTTGGTAAAAGTTTCAGCACTACCAGGAGGCTTTGTGGCGCGGAGCGCCCTGCTCCGTAGAAGCGGCTTTGCTCCGCAAATATACAGTGACTCACAAAACCAGCACAATGTTTGCAATTATTGAATTTAAAAGCTTGTAACTTCATGAATATTGAATCAAATTTAATGATAATTTAACTGAAATAACCCTGCTTTCTTGGTTTCAGTACACGTTTGTTTTACTCAAAAAAACTCACTCCTTCAATAGTTGTAACCTGTAACTAATTTAGCCATTAAGCATTTGTATCACGTAATACAAGTACGCAAACATGACTAAAAACGCCAAAAACGTGTTGTTTACATGCTTGTTGTTTACACAATAAAAAATTGTTTGAACTTTTTGATATTTCTTTGACATAATTCTCACAATGAAGCCTATTTCTGAAGAAACACATAACAGCATTGTTGCACTACTTGATAATGGGCTTTTATCATGTAAAATAGCTGCACAGCTAGGTAATAACCATGTAACAGTGGATAGAGTACATGCAAAGTCAAGACCTGAAATTGCAAAAAGTCTGGGTGGACAGCTAGCTAAGCTGACAGTAACTGACAAGCATAGATTGGTTCACATGGTTGCTTCAGGAAAAGCAGACAATGCTGTTCAGCTCACTCATGCTACAATGTAACACTCAGTACAGACAGTATGTTGTGCTTTGAAAGAGGCTGGAATAAAGGCTGCAACAAAGAAGAAAAAGCCATGACTTATGCCACAACATATCCACCAGCATCTTGACTTTGCCACAAAGTACCAACACTAGACCACAGAAGATTGGAAGCATGTTATTTGGTCAGATGAGACTGAAATTAATCATTTGGGGTCAATGGGCATGAGTGGGTGTGGAAAAAGCCTGGTGGGATAATGACAGAACAGCATGTCAAGGGTACAGTTAAATTTGGTGGTGGGAGTTTGATGATTTGGGGCTGTATGACAGCTCAAGGGGTTGGCTATGCATGTCGCATTGATGGGCACATGGATGCAGAGCTTTATACTCATATCCTTGAAGAAGAATTCCTTCAGAGCCTTGAGTATTATGGGATGGAAGTGGGTAGAATTATCTTTCAACAAGATAATGATCCCAAACACACCTCCTGTATTGCTCAAAAATGGTTCACAGATAATAGTATTGAGGTGCTGGATTGGCCTGCACAATCACCAGACCTCAACCCCATGGCAGTACCTCAAGCGACAGCTTGCTACATATGAGGCTGACCCCTGTAGTATTCATAAGTTGTGGGAATGTGTAGAGGTGGAATGGAACAAGATTCCACCTCAAATATGTATTGATCTAATAGAAAGTATGCCCAGGTGTGTTGCTGCTGTATTAAAAGCCAAGGGTGGCTATACAAAATATTAAATAAAATTTTTATTTTCATATTTTTAATGTAAGTTACAAAACCAGCACAATGCACTAATAAAGTTTAAAAAATCATAACTATTGAAGGAGTGAGTTTTTTTGAGTAAAACAAATGTGTGCTGAAAGCCAGAAAACAGGTTTATTTTCAGTTACATTATCATTGAATTTGATTCAATATTTATGAAGTTACAAGCTTTTAAATTCAATAATTGCAAACATTGTGCTGGTTTTGTGAGTCACTGTATGTGTATTATACATTGTGAACTTGTTGCATTTCTTCTCGAACTGTCCATAATAATTGGTAATGTAATGCTAATTCTGAAGCACAGAGACCATCAGATTTATACATTAATTCTATCCATTTTCTTTGCATAGTAATACATGCTCTGATATTTTTACCCACTTCTTTTGCATGTTTAACTTTTCTAATAGCATTGGTCATCCACAATTTATAATCATGTAATGCATATTTATTATTGAATGAGTGTTGAGATTCTGGTTTTTGTTTAAGCTTTTCGAACTCCTCAAAACTAATATAAATGTGAGCAGTACAACTTGTGGCCCAGTGTTTCTCAATTCCTCTGAGTATAACCCAACATATTTTGCTTTTCAACATATACAAGTTGATCACAAGTGTGGAGATAACAAATCCATTTTCACGTGTATATGACCCACCATCTGGGAATTACATTAGTCTTCTAGCATAAAGAGCTCTTGCTCTAATTAGGCATAATATTATTCTTTCAAAAGTTCACTACTTGTCCTTACTGACATTTTTGTGGTATTTCTATAGCACTCTGATCTATTGTGTAGCAAATATATGGTTTGGTAGGACGAAGAAATGAGATAGGGCATCAAGAATATTATCGGAGTGACTCTACTATATTTTTCCAACTGCGCGAGACACCCTCAGTCTATAAGTGATTACCCCTCAAATGCCTGATTAAAAGGTATGTACTATCGAAACTTTGATCACACTCGGGATGAGGACATTCCAACTCCTCTTTCTCTTCCTCCTCCGACGCTTCCGGTGATCCCGGGTCCTATAACCAGTCCATTGAATATATGATAAAATCTAGAAGTAATAAAAAGGAAATAGCAACAACG